GAGAAACGGATTGCTTCGATCCAATTTTCAGATGGAAACAGTGCACGCTCAATCAGCTTCCAGCACGGCTAAACCTCGCTACTCCAACGACAAAATCTGGTGTTGCTCGGACAAACATGAGATTATCAAGGATCTTCTATAATTCAAGTCGAACAGCTGCATATTGTATCCTTATAATATCTGACAAACACGTTCCTCGAGTCTTATCTGCTGAAATAAGTAGCTCTTCTTCAATCAGGTTAAAGCACAGCTTTTTTGTGTCATCATAAGTATAACAGATAGTGCTGTCTCCGGCGAACACAGACTTAACCGGATCCCCTGTTACACAACCCGTACGACTGCATGCTGAATTAATACTTGAGTGAACAGAAACTCAAAATTAACTCATATTTGTTACACGCAATCCCTTCGGTATAATACATAATACTAATCGTAAAGCAGAACCACTTGATTAAATGACTAAAATAGATTGAATGATGAATGATGAAGCAGCCTTACTTCTTCAAGCAAAATTCCAGCACACGAATCTTACGGCACTCCATCACCCAGTATTCGGTACCAGATGAAACGTCAGTTATTTGATGACGTACCAGTAACGTCTCTACCATAGTTTTGTGAGGTAAGCCTGAAAGTCCATGAACAGTTATGAGAACTACTGCTAGATAGCTCTTGAAAAATGACCAGAACTACTCCTAGGCAACCCTTGAAAAGTTAGAAGTATCCTATCTCAATAATTCTTGATAATTTATGGATACCTCCATTGAATAGTTGCTGAAGGCTTATGGACATTCACTCTAGCTCCGGCTCATGTAAAAAAGCTAAGGCTAAAAATCAGCAAATTCATCATTTTCTTCGATTTGGGACGTAATTAATTGATGAAAATCAGGAAATCATGATTTTTGTGTTTGATTAAATTGAAGATTATAATCGATTTTTTCTCAAATTCGATTCAGAATGAATTGTTTTTTTTTCGATTATCATATGGTTTCTTTTATTGAAATAGGATAAAATCAATTATTAACGAGCAGAAACGGTTTTCTACGATGTTTTCGTAATCAGCTGAAATCCATTTTTCGGAGTAATCTATTTTCATCAGTGAGTTTTGATTTTTTTCTCCTTAAAAATCAAGGATACCGATCACAACCTAATAAAACCGATCAGGTTTTCTAATCGATTACAATCTTGCACCTAAGAATGAGCTAAAATCAACTGATACTGATTATAATCTACCATAATCGATTTGGTTTAGAATCAATTATACTCGTTATTGTAAAAATCAGCTAAAATCAAGTGATAGTGTTTATTATCTACTACGATCGATTATAATCATTAGACTAAGTATCATCTGAAATCAACTACTACTGACTATAATCTATTACAATCTATTAGGTATTTTTATTTTCTAACATATTGCTTTTTATTGATGTCTATATGAATAGGTAAATTACAGCATGTTATGAAAGTAGCTCAATCCATGTGAAGAGAAATGAATAATAAACTATTGAGTGGATTGGAGAAATGTGATGAAGAACAAACGCAGTGGTGATTATTACAGAAAAAAAGCATTTTGAGACTAATAGTCATCTTTCATGTAATATTTTGCGAAAAAATAAGCAAAAAGTTTAATTATTTTTCTATAATAAAACGCACGAGTCTTCATAATTAAAAATCGCAATCGATTAGTAACAAAACTTATTAGTCAACTTAGGTTTCATTGCTTTTCACATTCAAACTCAAAATTGTAATCTAATGTGACAGGAATTTTTAGCTAAGTTTAGAAGATGAAATTAGAACGAGTTTTCATTTATACCTTTGAAAAAATATTCAATCTCACCATACAGGAAAAACTAATTGAACAAAAGGTACTTTTTCTTTTCTTAATCTCACCATTAATTAAGTTAGTATGAATAGTTCATTAATCAAGAATAAAGGAAAAAACGTAAGTCACTAAACCGTATTTTCTCTACGCTGGATTTGAACACATCACTGTTTTTTACGTTATAATTGTAATCTATTTTTTTACATTGTAATGCGTAAGTTTTTTGCTAAATATTCTGCAAAGAAACTAGCATCAGTGTGACATTGACAATACTCCTGCTTTTGCTAGACAGTAAATTTACAAAGGAAAATACATATCAGTACTCATCAGAATCATCGAAAAGTACAGATACATACAGAAGTTCTCTAGTGCTCGAGCCAGTAATCCGAATACTCATGATGACAAGCCGTACTCACTGGATAAGTACATTCGTTGCACGGAAAAAAAAGATGGTGAATAAATACTTTATGGTTTCGTGGAACTTTACTATTCATTAATAAGCATCGTAAAAATGTACGAAATCTCGCTTAAGTTTCGTAAATCTATAGATTTGTATAAAAACCACTACGTTTTCGCGGCTACAGACATCTCGTTGTAAACCTCTTAAAGGTATTGTACTAAATTATTCTTTTTAATGTCTCATCTAATAATAGACATAGATATTCAGCAATCAGAAAGTGGATGGATCTGAAGTAGTTTCTTAGTTGGCCTAGTTATGGTTCAATTTGCAATCATATTTGAATATCACTCTACTCTTTCTAAACTACATACTTTCCTTTGCGAAGCTCCTTGTGCACCGAATAGAGAACGCTTCATTTATACGACAATCAAAAATTCCTCGCTGAACCTTTGAAACCTTTAAAATTTAAGGAAAAGAAACATACTAATTACTCGATCAACAGTTTCCATGTTTCTTTTTCAAGAATTAATATATATCTGGGATTTGTTTTACAGCTTTTCAATGCCTTTTAGTTGAATGTATTGATGTTGCAAATTGCTGACCTCCATTTGTATCAAATACTAAATGCTCCATATGGGTTTATATTCTTAATATATTTATTTTTGTTCTTTCTCATGCTCGCATTCATCTTAGTTGAGAAGAATCCGATAGTTGTTCATTTCCACTTTAACATAGATAGCAGAGACAAACATACTGGTTAGTAGTAAATATAGGAGCATATGTTTCAATAAGCACGTATAAATGTAGATATATGGGGCTCACATAGACAAAGCCTCATAGACATGTATGTATAGGGGATTAGACATCTATTCTGAGGTTAGATACAGAGGTTGCAAGAAAAGAAATAGAATAAAAACATTGGACATAAATATGGCGGGTTAGGTCTACACTGGAAAAAAGATTTCGTAGATTGCAATAAATTCAAAAACTTTTGATAGTTTCGTAGGAAATCTCGAAAATCTTTTATGAGTTCCGTAGCCTGCACGAAATCCTCTCTGCGTTCCGTATGACACATTGTTTTTTCAGAGTAAGTAAAGGAGCTTATTTATAAATAGATATAAGCATACAATGGTCTATTTGAACTCTTTCTGAATTCAAACAAAAACAAAAACAATCCCTTTTTATCTGAAATGGTTGGGTCTATCTGGTCTAACAATATATCATATACCTTTTTTTTAAATAGGGTGGGTCTTGGACCAAGACCCACCCTATTTAGAAAAAGCTATATGATATATCCTTAGACCCACATAGACTCATCCTATTTTAAAAAGGGTATATGATACATCCTTAGACCCACTAGACCTACCAGGACCCACCCTATTTAAAAAAAGGTATATGATATATCGTTAGACCCACTAGACCCACCAAGATCCACCCTATTTAAAAAAGGTATATGATATATCGGTAGACCCACCCCTACAAAAAGAGGGGCATATGTATATTTAATAATATATAATTGTAAAAATCCTCTACATCCCGTAATTAGCAGTCTATAGAAAAAGGTGTTGAGGATGTAGCATAAGTGTGATGGCTAGGATGAGTATCTGCTGAATTTTTTCATTTTGCAGACCTTTTGGCCGGTGTTGCACGATTGTGTATACTTGCCAGATTTGGGCTTCCGATTAAGCTAATGTTGTTGGCATAATATAAATTGATGATTGTGACTATTTGGGTTTCTCGACTTACTTTTACTAGACCCCCTATACCCACCGATTCGCGGAAAAGGTTGCGTCTTTTTTTCAATTTGGGATTCAGAAAGAATTAGAAAAGACCATCGAGTCGATATAAGAGAATCAGAAATAAATAGTTATAGGGGTGTGGCAATATGTATAGGGGTTATGAATAAGTATAGGGGATTAGAAATAAACAGTTATAAGCGATTAGGAATAGATATATATAAGGTATTATGCATAAATATAGCAGATGTAGTGGGTTTTCATTGATTTCAAGTGAATTTTAATCAGTTTCTAATCGATGATTAATGAATTCTTAATCGATTTAGAATACACTAAAAATCAACCTTAATCAATTTTAATTGGTTAGCAGCGGCAGATCGATGTTTTATTGATTATAATCGATTGCGCGTGATTTTAATCGATTAAAAGATGTATGGTTTTAATCAATTTTTAATCAAAAATTAATCGATTATAATCTGATTGTTTTCTGTATTATTTTACTTGAGTAGAAGCTAAGGTGGAGCTGTCACATACCTAGTTTGTACCAGTAAAAATAATTAAAAAATAAAAATATGGCATCATTTTCAAAATTTACCGATATAAAAAATGAGGTACACCACCATTTTGAATTTTTTTCCAAAACCATGTTTTGCAAACTTTTTAAAACTAATTTTTATAACCACTGTCGTGCTCCCTATCAAACTATGTGCGAAAAAAATTTAAAAACAATACTTAAATCTTCGCTTTTCTGGCATCTTATAAAAACTAACAATGTTTACTATACAACCATTATCAAGTAGAATCATAGCATACATCGAAATGATTTCAGTCGCGTACCATATAAATGGATTCAATAATATATTGAGGAAAAATGAACATGTTAAAGGAAAAAAAAACAACTAAGGAAGAATACCAATGTGTCATAAAATATGATTTTCGAATCATCATAACTCACCTAATTCCTTTTATATTTTATCACATATCGAATTTTTAAATTGATTTCTTTGAGAATTTTTTTTCTTCCATTCTATAATTCTTTTCAGAAATGGACTTGTCGCGACGTTATCGATCGACTTATTTTGTTTTATTAATACTTCCATATTTACTTATTATGTATTCATACTTTTTAAAATCATCATCATCATCATCATCAATCAATAATGCAATGCAAATAAAACAATCATCTCGTTCACTAAAATCAATTGATACTGGACGAGTTTTAGTTATTTATGTTTGGGCTGATACAGATGTCCAGGCAGTTGGTAACCTTCAATTTTTTATTCGTTATGGTGTTCATCCATCACAACCAGCTGATTATTATTTTATTTTACAAAAAGTCAATAACAAACTAGTGAATGAATCGGGCTTACCTATGCTTCCATCCAATGCACATTATATTCAACATGAAAATGAATGTTTTGATTTTGGTACAGTTGGATGGTTTTTATCAAGTAAAGTTGTTGATATAACTTTATATAAATACTTTATTTTTATGAATGCATCAATACGTGGACCATTTTTCGCGACTTATTTTGATGATGAACGCATATGGTGGTTTACAATATTTACTAAACGTTTAAATGATGAAATAAAACTTGTCGGTCCAACAATCAATTGTGAACATAAACCACATGTGCAAAGCTATTTGTTGGCCACTGATCAAATCGGTTTATCTATTTTAACTGATAAAAAGAGTGGAGTATTAAATTGTAAAAAAGATTATGGTGATGCCGTTTTTAATGGTGAAATAGGTGCAAGTCAACTTATTCTTCATGCTAATTATCAAATAGCATCATTACAAACAAAATATCAAGGTTGGGATTTTCGTAAAAAGAAAAACTGGGCTTGTAATAATCGAGTTAGTCCGATATTTTTTGATCGCTCTATTGATGGTATTACACATGATCCGTATGAACTTGTATTTGTTAAGTATAAAGGTTTACCGCCATTTGATTCCGATCTTGAACGACGTGCATTAATCTATGAAAAATGGCTAGAAGGACAACAAACTGAACGAAAATCTCGGCGTTTCATGTATAATTCGACTGTTAGTTAATCTTTCTTTATGCAACATGTGAAATTTTTATTGATTGTTCTTCGTTGAATGATTTGCAACATATAGTATCTATGATTCTAAAAAACATATTTTTACAGTTCATGTGTTGTTTTCTTGTTTCATAATTTTCTCACTGGGTTCCTCTAATATTTTTTGTTGTTTTCTTCATAACAATAGCTACTTCATTATCAAAGTTGTCACAATCATTTTCTATATAATATTTCATTGTACTATTTGTGAACGATAGGTCCATAATAAACATTGATTCGTATCTGACACCTTTCAATCTTCAGTTAAATAATAGAACGCATTAGAATAGATGCTAAGATATTCTGGTAATAAAACCATGTTTTACATCTTAGGAATTACTGTTTAATATTTCTTTAATTTCAATGTTCACGATATAAGATTCATGTGTTTCAGTGACGGATCTAGGATTTTGGGAAGAAGAGATGATCATGGTCACAATTTGTAGTCTATCAGAAATCGTATCCACTCATTTTTGAAAGTTTTCTACTAAGAGAAATCCAAAAATATTTTGGAAGAATGAGCTGATCGCTCCTAGTGCTCCCTCTCTCTAAATTCACCATTGAATTCTGTTAACATTGATCATCAGATATCACTTCATCAACATAATCTTCCTACACTACCTATTAAATACGTACACCTTGACTATCATCATGATTGCTCGTCTTCAATTGAGCAAACTTATAATAATTGTACACTGTATTTAAATCTTTGCTTGTATTTGAACTTCTTGACTTACGTGCATCACGGTACCTTTTCTACTCTTCCTTTCTCACAGCAAAGTATTGTTCAAAAATTCTTTCGTATCATGACCAACCACTAATCACTCACATATGTGAGGGGTTCGTGAGCTTAAGGCTAACGAAAACTGAGTCTGCTAATGAAAACTCCACAGCCGATAGTAGAGACAAACATTTGTAATTTTTAAGGGCAATAGCTTCATAATAAATGAAAAGATAACAGCGACTTTGTATAGCATTATTGAAATTTTTTCATAGCAAAAGAAACTTGTATTTGACGTTTCGATGATCGATGTCATCATTGTCAACATTTATTAAGATCTTAGGAAATGGTACATTTACCAAAGAAAGAACGAAAACGAAAGGAAGACAGCAGAAAGAAAGAGAGAAGAAAAAGCGACACACAAGGAAAATAATGAAAATACAATAATAAACGACTTTAAGCTTCATTAATGAGCAGGACTAGGTAACAGAATCCTTGCCAGACCATCAGGAAAAACAAGTAATGGTACCGAATGTGTTGTTTTATTGAGTTCTGGTTCATAAGTCTTGATCAATAATGACTCGTTAATTAACAAACGATAATGATGATTGTCTTGCCATATTACCTAAAAATTACTCCAGTCCATACGATGACCTGTTTCTTTTTCATGCTGAGTAATTGATGATTTGCCAACCTGATTCTCGTTGTTATCGTCGTCTGTGGTTGTTGTTACTGTTGCTATTTTATTTTTTATCCGTGATGATCTTCTTAATTCTGGAATGTTCTTGTTATTATTAGGATCATCACTTACATGGTTAACACTGCTGTTATTGATAGGTTGTTTTGGATGCACCATGTTAATAAAAGCTTCGTATACATTGACGTTCTGTCTTGGCAATATACGAATGTTCACAGTCATTACATTTAATATAATATACTACATCCGACTTCATATGTTTAACAATTGGATCTTTCCTTTGGAAGAATGCTTATGTCGATGGTGATGGTTTGGCGAAGAATTGAATGTCGAGATCAGGCCGTAGTCTATTAGACAGATGCATGATTTTCTTCTTCAATTCTAAAGTTGAAGATCTAATAACTATGGTAATTCGACATACATTTTCTTCTTATCACATCCAATTACGGTTAATTTTGAGTCCCCATTCATCTTTCGACGATATTGACTTAATTCAATGCCAATAAGATTGTCCATAAAAGATAGTGGATAATCATTTTTTAAGCGAATTCTTCTTATTTAATTAAATTCAACTCCTAATAGTGTATATGTTGAACATATAATGAGTGCACGATTAACCATACTAACAATACTGGCTTTCATATATTGAGTGGGAACATGAGAATACCAATTTGTTAATAGTCCAGTGAATTTTGGCTTTCGATAAATTGTCGTCTCGAAGCATTGTTGTTCAGGTGATCGAAAAAGTTGTGCATCGAGGATTTCCAATTTATCATTATTTTCTAATTTATGGGTAAATTTGATGAATGGATGAAAATTATTTAGTATGGATAATATGTTATCCACATTTGCACCTGGATTAATAAGTACAGATGTATCGTCTACATAACGATACCATTCACATA